CTGCTTTTTTCTCGGCAGTTCGGCAAGCGGAAGATTCGTTTTCCGCGGGCGTAACGTTGAGATAAAAGTTAAAAAAAAAACAGAAGAAAGAAAGAAAAAATACACCATCGCAAGTAGATCTTTACCATTTGGAGGATTCGCGTGAATACTGGCTTGCGCGTGTGTGCTGTTTATTCACTTTCGTCCCAACTTTACCGACAATTTATAGCATTGCCAAACGTAATATTAAAACAGTACGGCGAGGAGTGATAAGAGGATTCCAACCCACACATAATCCAGCTTTCAGTAACATAGTTACACGACGCTGTGAACAAAAAAAAAGGAGAGAAAAAAACCAACTCCTCGCATCCCATCCGTCATCGCGTACGGCGCGGCCCGCGGAATAAACAGAATTCGCCGACGTTTTCTTGCGCTTCACGCTTCATAAAGCGTGCACCGTTCTCTCGCCGCCGCCGCCGCCGCCGCCGTCGCCGCCGCTGCTGCTGCTGCTGCAATTGTTTTTCCATGCGCGCGCAGGGGGATATGATGCATGGGCCTCTCGCGATTGATATAGCTCAAGTGAGCGTATATTGCTGCACCCGCTCTTCCCCCCGTGTTATTACAGCGCCGCGTCGTGTTATTTACGGCGAAGGAGCCGCGGGAATTAATATACTACACTGCAACGATGGGAAGCAACTCGCGGAAGTGGCGAAAAATCACGCGTTGCCGTTCCAAGTTTCTCTCCCTTTTTTCCCTTTCTCGATAATGATTGGCTTAGGTATAGGGACGATCGTGATTGTTTCCTGAAGCGCGCGTGTGGCAATGCGTAACGCGTTACGGCATACGGTTGCTAAACACGAGAGCCATGCGCTGCGAGAGGAGTGCCGGGGAAAAAATGCCCGCGAATGGATATCCGTAATTAATACAAACGAGTCGCTGTTGCAGCCAGCAGCAGCGGCGGCAAAGCGAAAGCTCTCCTTCGACCGATTAACAGCGTCTAATTTGTTGCCACCGCCGGCACGCGTCGGCGGATTAATCGCGTATATACGCTTCGGTCTCTTTTTTTTTCGTTTGCGGATAGTTCGTTAGATAGAGATTTTATCTGCCGCGGTTACATCACTATTTTATCAAGCCGAATAACAAGTCATTCCGTTATGCGTATGCCAATTGATTTTACAGCTGTGTCGATGGCGGTTGACATACGCGGCAAGCAAAACTATTCAGACCTGCTATTAAAGTAATGAGCGTGGTTTTTTTTTCCTTGCTCGCGCGTTAATTGAATATACGCCTGGCCGCGTGGATTACAATACTAATTGCGCTCGTAACTCTGTTGGCTGTCAAACATCGTAACATTATAATTTAGAAGATGGGCGAAGAGAAAAAAGAAGAATGAAGACATAGCTCACCGTAATTACAGCGCGTTTTCCGGTATAACGAGGGCAGTGTATCGGATTCGCCGCATCTTCTTTTTCCTCCTGCTGCAATTATAATTGAAGGCGTATATCATTCCGCGCATTCAATTGCGATATATATAAATGACGACGAGCTGATTTCGTTTGTCGCTGTTGCGAGCGAGCCAGCGAGCGCGTGTAAGGTGTGCGCGCGCGAGGCATAAAAATCGAGGGACACGACAAGAGGGAAAACGCATGGTCGTGTAAGAAGCGCCCGGGCGCGCGATACACGAGAACCGGTTTCACAAATGCGCATTAATTATGAATTGTTCGGACTCCGTTTGTGCGAGATGTACGTATTTCAGCCGCTATTGACCCCCCCCCCCCCTCCCCCCCCAACGACAAATAAAAACACGCGCGTCGCTCTTTCGGCGCGATAGTGGAACTGTCACTTTTTTCTCTCGTCTCCGCTCCACGCGATCTGTCGACCGCGAGCGGGCATGCGAGTGTGCGTCGGGTCTTGCGCGACCGGTTTTCCTCCGCCTGTGAAATTGGCTCTCCAATTGAAAATCCGTTGTCATTCTTATCGTGAATAATCGCGCGAGCGGCGCGCAGGCTTTTCAATAATTCAGTCGCTGTAACGGAACGCGGCTACGCGTTATGCAATAGCAGGTAGCCGCAGCGCGCGCGCGTGACGGGAACGACCAAATTTTCACGGATGCGCCACTCTTCCGGGAACCATGTGCGCACGCACAAAGCCAATTAGGCATGGTGGCGTTTTCAATGACGTAATAAAAATTATGGTTTCTTCATTATTCGTGTCTTCTTTGCGCACAGCTCGTTAAGGGGAGGCAAAAAAAAAAACGAATAGATAACGACTTCGCAGAATGAAGCTTTATTTGCGTGCGTGCAGCACGAGCTACAACCAAAAATAAAAAACTCCAAGTTTTAATTAAAAAACGCCAGCGTGCATGTAAAAAATCGGAATTTCGTATTGATACCAGATGCGATTCGCGCTACTGTACTGCAGTAGGTGCATTCTGCACGAGAGAAAAATCTCTCGAAGCAATATCGAACGAAAGTTGCCGAACGCGCGGGTCAAAAGGCTGCCGTCAAAGGTTCTCTAATTTCCTTTGGCTCTCTCGTTCTGTGGGTTAGCTCGTCCCTTCTTCTTCTTCTTCCTTCTTCGTTTTTTTTCTTCTTTTTTCTTTATTTTTGAGCTTGGTCGGTAAAAAATTGCCGAGTAATTCCCGTGATTTTAGTATGAAGGCTGTAGAGCAAAGCGCAGCCCCTTGATTGCAGAAGACTTTCGCTTGATTTATTTGTTGCGCGCGCGGTTTAATTGAACGGATGATCGAAAAGTGATCAAATAAATTTTTCTCAAAAACATATCATGATAAAAGATGAAACGCGCTCGATTAAAATTCAAATGAGCCTATACGAAGACACGTAAATCATTATACCGATTTTCGGCGTATGCGTCTATACGACATATGGCTAGAATCAATTTAAACCATCTGGAACAAGAATAATGAGTCCTCTTAAGGCATTTAATATAAAATTAGTCGAGTTAAGAAATATTTGAACTGGTATGTTTATCTACGAAATTTTCTAGTGTCGCTTTCTTCGACTGAAACACTCTGAAAATCAAATAAAAAATAAACTAGCTAAAGTTGGTACTGAAAATTCGGATATTCGAATTGCTTCATCTCGAAATTTGAAATTCAAGAAGGCCCAAAATTTCATTCATTCGAGTGTTGGTAATTGCATACCGATAACATCTGCGCGGCAATGATTTACTGAACGAGGCTGCACACACACACAATACACGTATTATTTATCATGCAGTACTGTCTCGCTTCCTAATCTCTCAATCTCTAATTTTCTCTCTGCGCGTCATCCCTTGACTCTTTATTATTCCAACGCCAACTCGTTCTACGTCCCAATCTACATCGGCTGCTGCTGCTTGAAAAATTATGAGCCCTGGGAAGGAGCAGCCAAGATTAGTCCGAGAAGAATGATCCCGGATAAATTAGAAAAAAAAGAAAGAAACTAAGTTAGAAGCCCAGGTTATTAAAATTTCATCCGATGCACGGGAGAGAAGGTCTCTTTTGGAGTACTTATTAAATTTACGATTTTACCGGGCTGTTCGTATATCGCGTGCGCAAATGAAGTTTTGATAGCCGTGCAGCAGCGGCGACGCTCTTTCCGTAGCTTTCTTAATTGTTCTTTTGAAATCACGACACTAAAGCGGAGTCTACGGCAATGTAGTCGAGTGGAAAAAAAAAACAAGTGCGATCGCGTCGTGCACAAGGTCGCACGAGCACGACTATCTTACGCATCCATTTATGCTCTTTGGCAACGAAAGGGAGATATATTTTGTATAGCGCGTGTTCCCACAATTTTCATATTCTCGCAACAGCTCATTCGACTACGAAAAACGTGAAAAAAGCCCAAGCGCGCATGTTACGCATGCGCACAAAAGACGTTCGGTCGCTCCTGTTTTCAACTGCCTCGACCAGCGAAAACAAAAAAAAAAAGGAGAGAGAGAGAGAGAGAGAGAGAGCGAACGGCCGCTCTCGCAATTAAATTATGGAAAGAGAGAAAGAGATCGGGCTTAAATCACTTTAATTACGCGCGTGTTACGTTGGGTTATTGATGCTGCATTGTGCAGCCGCACGCTTTACTAAAGCCCCGCGTGCTTCATTTAATCTTTTACCGCTTCATTAATGCGACGACTTTTTACGCGTTTGTCCGCCGCTGTGACCTTCGTTATTTTAATTGCTTGCTACTCTACGCGCGCGTGCGAGAATTTTGCGTGCGACCGATGATTCCTCGCGCGAACAGGACGTAACGAATAATAAATACATATGCGTAGGCTCGTGAATCAATGCACCAAACGAGATTTCAATTCAATCGGCGGACAAAAACGTAAAGCACACGCGCGCGCTTACCAAATCGCAATCACTCGGCAAATTTATTGCTTATAAATACACACGACGACGACGCAGCAGCAGCAGCAGCAGCAGCGGCGAGATTCGATAATAAGAACATCTCGAGTTGATTAACAGGCTGCACGGGCGTGTTATGTTCAATGGGATTGGCGCGACAGATCAATGGAGCGAAAACAGAATCTGAATTATTCGCGCGTAAACACGCGAGAGCGAGAGTCCGCGCTAGCTCTCCTGCGCATCTAATTGCAGCGAACGCGTACGTAACGCAGCGTGTGTATACCTGACATACACGAGTTGTTAGGCGGACTCAGGCTATAAATATGGTTATGGGTCACGATAGATATATGTGCATTCTATGGTTTAATAATCACGCGAATTCAACTCGCATCGACTGTTATACACCATTGACCTTTTATTACTCAAAATAGGTTATATACGTACACGAATGACTGCCGCGGTTAGATACTAGGCGTATTAGACGTTGTTCCTCGATAACGCAATCAAACGTGAGATATTTCTTGATTCATAGCTTGAGTAAACACGCGGCTCCGCTTTTCGCGCTCACAAAATCCCAACGTGTCACGTTTACCAAAAACAGTGAATGGAAGCAAACAAAGCGGCATTATGCCGCGCAAGAATTGAATTAACGATGCTCATATTTCAATTGATATTGCAGGACCGCCACGTGAAGGGTGCTAACAGGGATCCGCAAATGGACTCGAGCCAGGACTACCACTTGCAGTCGGGATACGAGAACAAGACGCACACGGTGTTGCGCTTCAATCGCCGATACGACACCTGCGATCCGAGGGATCTCAAAATAACGGTGAGTCATCTTAGCTTAATTAACGTATCGCTGAATATCAAACAAATTCCAGCTGGCACGACGCTCGATGTTTGTTCGCTCTCTCTATTTTTTTATTCTTATTGACGCCCGCGAAAAAAAAAAAATTTAGAAGCGAGGGAGGTGACTTAGCCCTTCAGGACACGGCGCCGCCCTATCTTGGAAGCTTTTGTCGTCGCACACCCCTTTTTCTAGAGTCCATAAAATGCAGAACTCCACTCTCACTCTCTCTCTCTCTCTTTTTCTCTCGATGGGGAGAAAAAGGGGACGCGAGAGAGCCAAGCACTCTTTACTTTATATTTTTCTAGAGAAGGGAAGGTCGACGAGAGTGAACTACGCTTGATTTTTATCTTTAGATTTTCGAAACAAAAATCACCTTGCTTGTATTAAAAACGTACTATGATTATAAATTTATATTATAATACCTTTTTGATTGACGCGCGTCGTTCCGCAAACATCATAAATTCAATTAGAAACTTGCAGTCAGAAAAAAAAGATGGCCCCGCATACGCAGAATAAAAGAAGGAAGTGGTGTCGGAGGCCCACCTTCGCGATTAAAAGTATAGTACGGAGAGAGAGAAAGAGAGAGAGAAGAGTCCCTCCTTGGAAATGCGCCCCAGTCGCGATTGGCGGGCTCGATTGCGATCGGATCGCGTGCGAGTTGTATCACCTCCTCCTCCTCTTTTGCGTCCTGCTAGCTGCTCCTCCTCGGGCGTTATAGCGACAGCCTTGCACTATCGTTCCTCGCGCATCTCCACGCGATAGCATCGTAGCGCAGGCTTTTCCCGCTGAACAGAGAAAAGAAACCCGCATATGTGAATTCGGCCTATAAATAAAACTCCATTTCTTCCATAGCGACAACAACAAAAATTGAAGAGGACGTGAGTCGCCGAGCGGATATCGCTTAATTATAGTCGGTGCTCAAGCGATCGATCGATTAACTTTCCCTCTCTCCTTATTCATTGTTTTTCACGACGACACCCGATTTGATGGAATATCAGAGGCGGGCACACACTGCATAAATACCCGGCAGACGGGTTATTATATAGATTTTTCTCGCTCCCTTCGTCTTCGGTTTTTTTTTCCTTTTCGTTTTTTTTTACGACCAGAAAAAGAAAAAGAAGAAGCCTCGCGATATTTTGCAGCGGCAGACGGCTCAGTCTTATTTCTAGACTCTTTCTCCGAAGGAGCGCAGCTCCAAGCTATAGAGACAAGCCGTCAGTTAGCCGTCAAATAGAGCGCAGCCGATGCTTCTTCCATCGATCGCAGGCGCTGGGCGAACCTCAAATTCAAGTATCTTATTTCTCCCGAGCTTTTTCGCCGTTAATTCCTTCAATTTCTCGAGCCGAGAGAGATATTAGGTTCGACGACATTAGAATGTTTTGCTGGCGATGGAAGCTTTCAGCGCTCGCCGCGGCTGCGTGTTTGCGCGGTCGATAAAAATGTCACATGAGAAAACAAGAGAGATAGAGAGAGAGAGAGAGAGAGAGAGAGAGAGAGATCCTCGAGATTTGTGCGAGCATTCGATAAAAGCGTCGCCGAGGAAAAAACAAAAAAAAACAAGGAGAGAAGTTTCGCCACTTTTCGTCGGTTCGATATGTGCGTGTACGTGTGCGTCCGTATTTCTGGCAGGACTACTTTGGGAAAAGCGCAAAACAAGAAGAAAAATTTCCCTCTTTTGTGTCGACTTCTCCTTTCTCTCCCACGAGTGCAAACACAATTAAGCCCTTCTCCGCCAACACGCGCGATTTTTCCTCCGCATGTCATCGGATGCTAAGATCAACGCAGGTGCGCGCGCGCGTATATATCGCAGGGCCAATGAGAACACGAGGAAAAAAAAAAGAATAGCTGTGCGCGCGCGTAGCTGAAAGGAGGAAGGCGGAGTCTAGAGGTGCATGGTGCGGGCAAGCTCCGGAACGGTGGCGGAATGAAAAAGAAGGCAGAGCTCCTTCTTACGTCTTTGACCCACTCTCCATCGTTTGCTGTCGCACGTAATCGAATCCAACGAGAGTCCACGTTATTCTCATCCCTCCGTTACAACTTAAACTTGTTCCACGCGACTTTATTCTTCTTTCGGCTGATCGGCTCGACGCAGCGGGAGTAACTAATAAAATTGCCGATATACTAGGCCTGATTAAGCCAGCAAACCGTTGGTGGCAGTAGTATACCTCCACCTTTTACGAGACAATAAACCAAGCCGAGTATGTACACTCTCGCCCCGTAAAAAGCTAATGATTTAATACACAAGAATCACCGCCCGAAAGAGAGAGAATATTGCGATGCGCTGCTCACGTCTATAGCTAAGTAACAGTCGTAAAAGTCGTAAATCCACGTGACAGGAGTAGTCGCTACCTCGATATCCTAGCTCCTGGTATTGCTACAGCCTAGTTGCCAAATGTGAACATTAAATAATTCATTGCGATTGAGTTTAGTAAGAATTCGCTTTTTCCCCGCGTAAACAACTGACAATCGCAAGCTCGTTGATGACCATGGGTTACTTTGGCTTGTGCGTGCCTGGGACCTTTAAACATCTTGACACCGTGAACGACGCCCCTTTCCGATCGATTAGCCACTCTCGCTCGCTCCGAGAGCAGCGAAGCTCATAGCGAAAATTAGACTGTACGATAGACATGCAAATCACCAGCCCCGTACGCGCGTATGTATATAAAGAAACAACAAAGTTAATGCAAAGCGGAAGCCAATGCCGGTATTTAGGTTATTCACTCAGCCGACTACAAGTTTTATAGTTCCGACAGTCATGCGACGCGGCGCGTTTTCTTCTTGTTGTCGTTGTTGTGTATTGCCGTTTGTCGTTTTCTTTTTTCCTTTCGCGATTCGAAGGGACTGTATAATTAATTTTCAATTTCATTCGAGCGTAAAGAAACGATTCGCGTGTAATAACAACACACTTGTTCAATTACGCTTCGCTTGGCTGCTGCCGAACGTGCTGCTTTTTTCGACGAGCGATTTTTAATTAGATGCAGTCGACGTTTCTCTCTTTGTTTATGAGTGAGTCGATTGAAATTTTATTCGATTATCGGCTCTGTGTGTGCGCGATGCAGCAGCTGTCGCTGCCGCTTATATGACGGAGGCGTGATCGGCCGATAATTAACTCGTTAATTAATCGTTAGAAGCAACACGGCGAGTTGATCAAAAGAGAGGAGAGAGACCGCGCGAAAGCCAGCTGGGACGATTTATACGAGCAAATATTTGCGTTGCTGTATAACACATCCGCACATGTGATATACTAACTCGAGATTTTCTTCTTGTTTTTGTTGCAGGTAAGCAAGACTGGCGACACTTCTCGCAGCATCTATAAATAATCCATCCTGCGGGCGATTTGTTGCGGAACGCGCGAAAACAGATGTCGCGGATTTCTACCCTTCGTGGTCGCGTTTGTGGACCACCCCGGCGATGATACAAACGAGCGACAGATGATAGTGATTACTCGCGAAACCTTCCTCTTCTTCGTTCTCTCTTTTTCTTATTCTCAATTGCGACTTTTGCTTCTCGCACGCTTGTGTAAGTAAAACTCGCGCTCAAGAGGTCGATGCGACGTGGGTAATTGTAGCCTCGTTAACCAACCTTGCTAATGCGTCTATTATGCTACGCGGTTATCCGTCAAATCAGCGCCTTTGTGTGCAAGAGAGGGAGAGAGAGAGAGAGAGAGAGAGAGACGCGACGACGTCGGAAGCGTTCGTCTGCCGCTCTGATGGACAAGACGGCTGCTGCTAGCTTTTCGAGTGCGCTCGGGAGGAAAACTCAAGTGGCTTGACTAATTTGAATTTTACGAGGTTTTAAAAGCTTCTCGCTGTTTTTGTCTCTCCTTTCGCCTGTCGGGCTAAATGAACTTGTGCGGGATCTCCCGAGGTCTTTGCGATGTTTGGCTCTTTTTCTTGCTCTATCTCTTTCCCTCTCTCTCACTCTCTCTCTCTCTCTCTCTCTCTCGCGCGCGCGCGCGCACACACATACATTCGACATCGGAAAATACTCAGGGCGAGTCGTCATTATTCTATGATTAATGTTGCGGATGCAGCAGCGTACGCTATTTTTGCGCTCTAACGTTAGTTTAATGGCGTCCTTGAGTTATCAAACTTAAATTTGATATTCGCGTGTTGCGTGCGTCAAAAGTTTTTCTAAGATAAAAGAGAAATTATTGGAATCGCGCACGGGAAACGACTAAATTTCACTTTGAGAGTCCACTGGAGCTGGCGATCGTGGAGAAAATCACGTTACACGCAACGACGCCACGGCCTTTATGCCATGTACAATGTATGCTAATAACTTGGCCGAATAGTTGAACGCGCAAGCGTATTAATTCCGTTAGAAGTTTGTGCGAAAATTGACTCGCGCAGACCCAAAGTTTTGCCGCGCTTGTTTTTGTCACAGCCTCGTTCCGACGAACAATCAAATTTAATCCGATATTTGCGTCGCGTGGGACTAAAAACTTTAATAGGGTTCCTTATTTTAATTTATTTATTTTTAGGTTCGTTGCTCTAAACTATCGCCTGGATAACGGCGTCTTCAAAGTTCTGTGCTCTGACTTCACCCTTTTGCCTTTTCCTCGAAGTCGCTCCGTGTGATTGCCGGAGCGAGAGAGAGAGAGAGAGAGAGAGAGAGAGCGAGAGAGAGAAACTATCGTTGGAGTTGAATTCCGTACAGCAGAACGTAACTTACGATGCTCCTTTTTTGGACTGCTTTTTTGATGCTACTTCTTCTTCTCCAGCTGAGCCCGTTTTTCTGTGCCTCTCTCTGACAGTTTCTTCCCGAAATGACTTTCTATCGTATACAATCGAAACTTTGTCGTCTCGAAAAGTTTCTTATTAAAATGAAACGACCGATCTCTCTCTCCTTTTATTTTCGATTGAAAATCTTTGACGCGCGCGGTTCGCTCTGTCTTTCTCTCGATACATATCAATCGATAACGTGATTAATCGCGCGCTTAATTGGCTCCGCCCCATATTGTGCGCCGCATAGGCCCT